GACATTGGATCCAGACTCGACATTGGGATTCAGGCATTTTGACGAGGGACTATTTGGGCTTGTGCCGAAGACTTGCTGTTGACGACATTCCCATCTTCCCCTCTTCTTCGTCTAACTCCCCTCTTCTTCGTCTGTGTATGGTTGGGGATTGGCGCATTCTTCCTGTGTGAGCGCCAGGCCCCTGCACACCATGGAGTGATGATGATGATGTATGTTCGGGGCTGCATTGCAATATTGATTGTTCGGATCATTGGTATCTAAGTCTTCCGCTACGCTATTTTGTACTTTGTGAGAGAGGTCGGTTCTTGTTCTGGTCTGCACCGTTACAGTATGCAACAGTAACTCAAGTTACCCAGTCTCGGTAGTGCTCACATTTGACGATACGGGCCAACAGAAAGGCATTTGCAACACTAAATTACTGAATATTATTCTTAGAATGAACCAATGCTACGAACCGTAATCTCAATAATGCCTTCAACACAATCTCAAAGTTGGTCTCAATAAGGCGATGAAACACTATCGCGTCAGTTGCATAAAGAGCGGAGGGCGAAAATCTCCTCTGCCATTGTCGTACAAACTTGGTTACGCTGTGAACGAGTGAAAGCTTACCTCTTCGATAAAGCTTCCCTTACTCAATTCTTTGCACCGTAAAGGTAACTTTAGCCGTAGAAGAGTCGAGCACCGTCATGATGCACTTCGTCCCAAGAAGGAAACTTCGAAAGAAGCAACAAATTGAATTTGCGGGTGTCGAAGCATAAACTGAATGACAGCGTAACTGAAGTTACCCAGTCTCGGTAGTGATCAGTTTGAGGTCATCTCCTCGGTTACGATGCATCGTCTTCACATGTCCTAGCAATGGATATTGAGATCCCTCTAAGGGAAACAATGCTCCCCTCCCCCTCACCATAGATAGCAAGGGTTAGGGTTAGCTGGTTGTTCTGTTACAGCAACAAGCATTAGTGCAGACATGGTAAACGCGCCGCAGAAAACGCTTCCTGGTCACCTCTCATCACATGGACCGCTTTAAGACCTTCCATGATTTCCGCGATCTCTTGCTCGCTTGGCTTGTCCTCCTCATCATGTTGTAATCAATCTATTTGTTCACCTACCACCTCCTCCGCAGGTTCTTTGCCCTTATTCTTATCGCATTGCGCTGCCAGGGGCATGGTTGCTTCCTTGCCTCTGTTCTCTGCCCCCTTTTCTCATGCACACCTAGATGGCCGTGAGTGTAGCACACCTCGCAGAACGGGTTCCCGCTGGTGACCACTCACACTTCTTCGCAGCTATACGAGCCCGTCGCCGCGTCCACACAATCCCGCAGCTGTTTCTTCAACTGTCCATCAATATAGTACAAAATGCATTCACGATCGTCCTCTCCTACCAGCTGCATGTTAACAATCGGGCTGAAGAAATATTCAATCGCCCCCGACATCCACATCGAGGGTTGGGGGGAGATTTAGAATGCCTTCACCCTTGACGGGGGTCTACGCTCCTGCTGCTTCAGCATGGCCCTTTCCACCGGTTATTTCCATGACTGCAGACGGATCTGTACTTGCTGGCCATCCACTTCCACCTGTTGCTTACATCTTTCATCAATCAGCCAATCTCTGAGGTCGACGGTGGGTGCCAGATACATCACAAGCGTATCCCCTTCGATGTCTATATCCCCATGCCACGACCCTTCTTACCCAACATCCACGTCTCGCCCATATGCCTCCCCCATTGAATTTTTGCCCTTGTTGTCCAAGTGCTCATCTTATTCTATAGCTTACACGTATGTGACGCCCAACCTCACGCCCAGCGCGACTTCCTGATCAGAGTGGGGTGTGGGCCGGGAAGTGCGAAAAGGGGTGTGCCAAGGATTTTTGGGGAAAGTGGGGGAGTCTTAAGGGTATGGATGCAATTAGGCGAGTCAGGGGTGCGCGCGGAAGGGGCTCACGGTCCGATGGGGCTGGGGCACTGTGGACGACGGTTTATGGGGGACTCCCTCCGTGGTGGAGGTGGTCCCGAAAAGTTAGGCCGTCGGGGGCCGCCACGTGGCGCAGGTCGCCGCGTGCCTGGTTGGGCCTTCGAAATTCCGGATTTCTCTGTTCGCCGCTACGTCGGCAATTCACACAAAACGTGTTGGGCCAATAGGGGGATATGGCCGGCCACGGAACGACACTGAGTTGATGATACGGAAGAAGGAGGGGGAAAGGAGGGAAACTGGTGGTGATCTCAACGAATCACGGGTGGGTGAAGTAGTAGGTGTGGTCGGGGGAAGGGAAATCGGAGCACCGAGGGTCGCTAGTGGTGGCACAGTGGAATTCCCGCGGACATAGCCGATTCACCATGTGACAAGGGTATCGGGTCCTTATGAGCTCGTTTATTATAGGGGTGAAATAGTCCGGGTCATAGGACGAGTCTGAGCCCCAACATCGCGTCATGGTATCATTGCCGATGGGATAGCGCGGGTCGGGATATCGTCACCGCGCACGAGTACGTGTAGGACAGGCCGACTCATGGCGCCTCATCATGCTCGTACGGGATGATGGTTCCGTCATGATTCCCTTCGGGGTGAGCGAGTCGACGCACGGGAATGCGTGTAAGGGCGCGACTCGGATCGCGTTTACATGTGTTCTCGCGCAGCGTTCGCGAGACCAGACTTCGGATCGTCGATTATGCAAGTTGCAATCATATCAAAACCTCATCATGGGACAAGCAAAAACAAGAACGAAATCGACATCGGGGCTAGATTCTCATCCCATCTATCGCTGCATCCGGCGCAAGCAAAGATTCGGCACAAACAAAAAGCAAGGGCAAGCAAGCATAACATTCATGCATCCATACATTCGACAATCATACACATAATGCAATCGCAAGGACATGTGTGAGCAAAAACCCAAGTCCAGATTCCAGAAAGCCAAAACGAAGATAAGAACGGGCAAACCGCCCGGAGCCACAGTCAAAATGTATGTACACAGATGAAGAGGGGGAAGAGACAAGAAAACAGCAAATCCGCGTCCATCGACCTCAACTCTCTTCTCCTCTCTCTCTCTCTCTCTCTCTCTCTCTCTCTCTCTCCGATGCGGACAGTCCGTCGTCAAGCACCAACCCACGAAGCTGTCACCCCGCTTAGTCCTCCCGCACCCGTCGGATTCGCCCGTGCCCACAAACCGTCGTGGCCGACGTCAATCCCGCGCGTTCGACACCAGCCCGTCGGGTCGCCCAACTCCTGCTCTACTCACCTCTTACTTCGCTCGTGTGTCGATCCTTCCTGATCGCGCAACCCCGAGCTTCCAACAACGGGTTAAGAGAGCTGACTAATCGCGCAGCCTAAATTTATAGAGTGCATGCAGGCGCGAAGGACACGAAATTACCAAAACTTAGAGCGGGGATTAGAGAGGGAGCGCCTGCGTTCTGCATGATCGGGCTGCGGCGTGGGGGACGTAGCCCTTCTCCACGCATCGATCCGAGCATGCAAACCGCGATTCACAAAAATCACAGCAAGAGGAAGAGAGGGAGGGCGGGAAAGGCGAAGCGCAAGAAGAAAGATACAGTTACAACGGCGCATGCCCAAAATTACAGTTACACCAACGATTACAGGCGCCGATTAATTAGAGTTCCGTTGCAGCCGCGCGAAGAAGCGCGTGAACAAAAAGCGCCGTGCAGCTGGAAAAATCCTAATTACTAAATTCCTAAATTCCTATCTAATGCGAAAAAGAAAAAGACACAAATTCCAGAAGGAAAGTCCGAAATTCCGAGAGCCATCGGGGCTCGACAAAGGTTTCAAAAGAAAATTAAAAAAGAGCATAGCAATTTCCCACGCGATGTCCTCGCCCAAAAGATCGAAACCGAACCGAAAGAAACGACGTCAACATTTATTAATTCGCGCGCGCGAATGGCGACGCGCCAGACATCCATCCGACCGACCACTCAACCGGTCATCCCAAGACACACCCAGCTCCGCACTCAGTCATCCGACAAGAAGCGACAAAAAAGACGAAAAAGCAAGGGTACTGATGCAACTTTTCATCAATCCCGATTTCCCGTAATTGACCCAATCTTCCCAGCTTAGGACCCCTCGTGGCAACTGCGCAGGAAATCGCGTGTTACAGAAAGTGGCTCGTCACATATATGACGCCCTGGGGGTTCCAATATTGGCAAGCTCCTGCTTGCTTGTTGACACGTGTCAATTTCTCTAATCGATCGACACGCGGAGCACTTCTCTTTATGCCACTTCCTGTTCGATTGCGTGTGGACGTCATCCAACGTGGCAACTTTGCTCTTCTACTACTTCCTCAGATTGGGCTCTCGACGATCCAAGGACGGGATTTTTCTCGTGCCGTTACCGCGACACGCATCCATTACCGGTTGCATAAGTAATTAACTGGAAGGGGAACAGGGAGCCGGTGCATGGCGGCATTGCGGGGTGGAGGGCTTATGGGTAGCGGGGGTAGGAACCTTTCCATCCCGGCTGCAGATTCTGGAAGCGCTTGGTAGCGGGCGATGCGGTGGAAGCAGGGGAAACGGTTGCCAGTGCGAGAGAGGGATGCGAGGTAATCAGGATAGAGGGTGGTGAGAGTTCGGAAAAGTGCCGCGCGGAAATGATCGCGATCTTCGCAGGCGGGGATGGTCCCCATTACTATGCAATAAACCTCGATCATATTGTGGCCTTGCCACGCGGCACTAAGGAGCAAAACATGGAGGCAGAAGGTTGGGACGGCGCACTGAATGGAGGGGTGGGGGTGCACTACTATAGCGAAGCGAGCAGCATAGAAGTGGTGGAAGGCGTCGCGGGGGAACGGATTAGAGGGGAACGTAATGGGGGTGGTGAGCGGGCGGAAGGTAAGGTATTCAAGAGGACGACGAGAGAGCGATCGGGGACGAAGACCGATTGCCCGTATCGGTACGTTGGCGAATTGGGGGACGGGTTGGGGAGGAGGGGGATCGGCTCCGTCGCCTCGCTGATGAGGTCGGAGTTGTGGCTGTGAGGTCGCCATGTTCTGGTCGGGGAGGCTCCGGATCTCGGTTTGGGTCATCGTAGACGTGCAAGCTTGCCCCGCTCGCAAACTCTAGCTTCCTCTTCCCGGCCGAGGTTTCTTCTCTTTTGCGGGCCGCCTCCGGATCTTCAGCCTCCGTGCCCGTGCGCAGCGCTTCTTCCGGCACAGCTTCCCACTCCGATTCCGCAGGTCCTTCTTCGTTCTCTTCTTCTCCTTCATTGTCTTCTTCTTCTTCTTCGCTCTGCTCCTCCTCGCTATGCCCGCTATAGGTTCCTTCTTCGGGGGTTTCGTCCTCTTCCCCGAGTACTTCGTCACTTTCCCCACTTTCTTCCCGCTCGTCTTCTCCTTCGTCACTCTCAGTGCTTTCTTCCTCCTCTTCCTCCTCTCGAATGGCAGCAAGCTGCTCCGTCGTTGGATGCCTGAAGAAGGCAGGATCGCGAACCGTCCGGGGATCCAAATACTGCTGCTGCGATGGCGGGATGCGCTCGGCGGCTCCCTCCACACAAGCCGACCACTGGAGATACGGCGTCAATGTGCGAGAAAGCACATGAGGAATCGGGTGCTTGTCGTCTTGCGAGATGATGTCGAGAGGGAGATCGTCCGCCAGCTGCGCTACCGGGATCGTGAGCTCTTGCGCGATGAGTTCCTGATGTCCGGGCCGCACTGTACCGAACAGAAACGCGAGGAGTTCTCCCTCCACGCTGGTTCGCCAAGCCTGGATGAACAGCAACTCCAGGCGCTCTATGCAAGGCGGGCGTGCCTCGTCCTCGGTCCACGTCAGCCGTACCTCAACCAAGCACAGTGAAAGCCCGACGAAGTCGTCGCGCAACAGGTCCCAGTGTGGGAGATGAATGTCGGGGACAACAAGGGTCGTTAGACAGTAGGAAAGGCGAGGATGGATATCGGAAGGTGGAGGGGAGATAAAAAACGGAGATCGGAGAGAGACTCATTGGGGGCGAGGGAAGGGAACAACTCGTGTTTGGCTAAGAATTTCAAGGTGTCTCCGAGGCAAAAGTTGTTTGTATTCTTATTTTAAATGACATATATTTTTTGATAAGGGTTTTATTGTGAAGTTCAAAAGTGATTTATAGTTCTATAAATTATTTTGTGCAGAGCTTCGCTTTTACCTAAGTGCGGAAACTGACTTATAGTCTTATAAATGAGTATTCACGAAAACACGTTTTTTCTTACATCTTTCAAGTTTGCCTTGTCATCCTTTAAAAATACCCTGTTTGAACTCTTTTTTTTTTGTCAATCTACTGAGAATGACTTATATTCATATAAAAGCATTTTGCAAGGAAGGGTTTTCTTGCACATTTTGAGGAACGCTAGACTTTTCACCTGATTTTTTGCCTCCTTTATCGCAAAACGTTTAAAAACGCTATCTTCTTGGGTAAAAAATAACAGTTTGACTTTTACTTTTTCATTCTATAAGAAATGTTAGGTTTTCTCCGATTGTGAGGTTTTCACGAATCCCCTGTTCACTGAAGTTGATGACGATCGATATGCGGCTGACACCTGACACCGCTCGCTGATGAACTGCTACTGCCTCGGCCAGTACCACTGCATTGGGCCGACCTTCGATTCTGAACACCGCCGCTGCATACACGCCTTCCGTGCAGAAAAAGTGCACAAGCCGTCGAAGATCCGGACTGAGGCGGGGATGATAGACTTGCCGGATCGTCAATCGATCACGGGGCGCAAGCGATGCTTCGCTGAGGGCTCTCTCCTCCAGAAAACTCATGGCGATGGCGACGGAGAGGCAGAGAGGGAGCAAGAGGAAGAGGGGAATGGTGGAGAGTCAGAGCCGTCATCCTTGGTTTCCTCAGAAGGAGAGATGGAGGGAGAAGGGAACGGAGCAGAGGGGAGGAGGCAAAGATAGGACACGTGGCGTGTGATCGGGCGGGCCGATCGGCTGCCAGAGACTTCAGGGGCGAGGCGCACGGTGTCCACACCGTTGGGGCCGAGCTCAATCACGCGATATCGCCCGAAGAATCCTGGCATTAGCTTACCCTGGCGAGCACATTTCCTCACCTGCACCATGTCCCCCAATTTGTACTGGGGCCGTGGACCCGCATTCCCATTTCGGGCCTCGTAGCTCCGGACCTGTCGGCCTTGGGCTAGTTCGGTCATTTTCTGTCGTTTTCAGGCTAGCCTGGGTAGTGACCGTTCCATTAGCTCTAGGTGCCGTTTGGCCTTGTCCCTAGCCGTGGCCCTGGTGGGACGTCGGTTCAATGTAGACTCGTCCGGGAGGCTTGGTATTGAAACGCAAGCGACGCTTAATTGGAAGGGGCTCAACCCCGTCGATTCGTGGGGCGTTCCACGATGGACCGCCAGGATGTGATCGATGATATCGGGCCAGGGTCTCGGATCCCGTGCCGCGATGTTTCGTCGCAACGCTCTCTTTATCACTCGGTTAGCGTTTGCGACCAGTCCATTGGATTGTGACATATGGGGTGCAGTGTTACGTATAGCGATGCCATGTAGGACCAGATTCCTTAGTACTTCTCCCCTGAATTCAGCCCCGTTGTCGGTCAGGATTTCTTCCGTATCCTGATGCATCCCGAGAAAACGGTTGACATACCATGCGATTTTCGTGGCTTGCCACGTGTGGCAAGGATATGCTTCGATCCATTTCGAGAAATGGTCGACAAATACCAATAGGATTGAATATTCGCAGCTATTAGGGCCAGGGGGCACCACTATGTCGGTAGTGTCCATGCTCACTCTTTGAAATGGTCGTTCAACAACCGTGGGCACTATCGATATTGGCGGCTGAATCGGCGCCTTGTCAGTGGCGCAGACTTGACAGTTGGCGACAATGTATTTCACATCGTCGCGGATATTGGACCAATACCTCTCATTTTTGTCGATAGCTACCTCCGTGATTCGTACGGCAAAATGGGCCACAGTTTCCTCGTGGGCTGTCTTAACCCTGCCGTACCACATGAATGGATGCGGCACTACCATCCAAATCCCACTGCCGCCCGTTTTCCGTTTTTCTAATCTACCCTCTATCCATCGATAATCCCAAGCCCTTTCGTTGGCCCTCCTCCGATCTTCCTTAGTGAAATCCTGGAGGGGGTTACCTACTAGGGTGGCAATTAAGGCAATACCCGTCCATACTTCGGCCCTTCTAAACTTCCGGGTCTTTTCCACTCCTTCTGACGTGGCATCCAAAAAACGAGCCTCGGTCGGAATCTTGTTGGTCCGGCGCAAGGGGCACAACCACGGTTTACTATCGTTTCTGTATTGGATGCACGAGCCATGGGCTCGTGCGACGCACTGTTGACAATCTATCCAATCGATATACCCTTCTCCGTTAGGACACGTGGATACCAAGTATACGCGGGAGATGGCTTCGCAAAAATAGCAAAATTTGTCAGGCGGGGAGAGGAGAGACGAAGAGGAAGAGGGGGAGAGAGGGGTAGTGGGGTTACCTCCGTCACCCATCGCCACCGTTTTGCTTCTTGCCACGTGGGAGGACTGCCACTTGTCCGTACTTAGGCTCATTGGTCAGGTCCGGCTCCTTCCACGGTGTAATTTCCTCGCCCTTTGGTACCTTGACAGGTCGGTGCAGACGTGTCTGCCCGTCCACGTTGCCATGCCGTTTTGTCTTTCGATGGACGATATCAAAGTCATATTCTTGTAGTCGCACCGCCCAACGGCCAATCATGCCCGTGTAGTTGGTGAGTTTCTTCAGCGCTAGCAGAGGCTCGTGATCCGCTACGAGGCGAAACTTCTGTCCGTACGGATACGGATGGAAGTAGTGGATTCCCCAAACTACCGCATAGCACTCACCTTGAGGTGCAGAGTCGTTTCTTCGTTCGTCCGGTACGGTTCGAGACGCGTACTTGATGACGTGTTCGCGACCATCGTTCCCCTTCTGTGCTAGAATAGCGGAAATAGCTTCCGGTTGCCAGTCCGTGATGAGAATGAACTGCTTCGAGGGGTCCGGCCGAATCAAAATAGGGGTCGCTGCCAGAGCGTCTTTGAGGGTTGCAAAGGCCTGCTGGCACTCCGCGTCCCAACTGAGAGGTTGGTCCTTCCGTAACAGGTTTGTTAGCGGTCGTGCAATCGTGGCAAAACCCTTGATGAAGCGCCGGTAGTACGACGCCAGTCCCAAGAAGGCTCGAACCGGCGTTAGTGACGTGGGAACCGGGGCTTCCTTCACCGCCGCCACTTTTCTCGAGTCCGACCGCAATCCTCCACGTATCACGACGTAGCCCAAGAACGAAATTTCCGAGAGGAAAAATTCACTGTTCTCGAGCGCAATCTTGAACCCAGCATCTCTCAATGCGCCCAATGTCCACTCGATGTGTTGAACGTGCCCGTGATAGGTCTCCGAATAGACCAGGATGTCGTCCATGTACACGATCACACAAAAGTTGATCATCCCTTGCGTCAGCCGTGTCTTGTTGACGAAATTCTAGAACGTCATATTCATTGCTCGCTGAAACGTGGCAGGCGCATTGCAAATCCACATCGGACACCGAACCCACTGCCACGTGCCCTCAAACAACACAAAGGCCGTTTTCGGTCGATCTCCTTCCCTTACCAGAATATGATGGAAGTCATGTCGAATATCAAACTTGCTGAAATAATTAGCGCACCCAATCGCATCCAACAACTCATCAATCCGGGGGAGGGGATACATATCTTTGATCGTGATTTCATTCAGCTTGCAATAATCAATGCAAATGCGAATTGTTCCATTCTTCTTCGGTACTAACACTACAGGAAAGGACCAGGGTCCAGTAGCGGGTTCAATCCAACTGCTGGCTTCGAACTCCCGAATTCGTTCAAGAGTCTTTTTGCGTTCAATCAAGGAATAGCGATAAGGTTTGCAATGAATCGGGGGGTGATTTCCTGTCTGAATTTCATGTTGGATTACTAACGACAACCCGATGTTAGTGTCTGATACACTAATTGCTCCTTGGTATTCCGTTAGAATATCCGCAATCACCCGGTGGATTTCATCCGCCACATATTGTGGAACGTGCAGTTCAAAAAGTTGGTCCCAGATCCGAACGTCAATCTGTTTCGTGTTCGCCTGTTTTGTCAAGTCGGGTGGAGGCGCCAAGATGAATGAATGATCCGATCGCCAGGAGAACAACGTGGCCATCATCTGAGCATCCTCTTCTCGGATTGCCACGTGTCCTTCCGGGGTAATCCCGTCGCAGACATCCTGCCATGGCACTTCCTTAGTTGCAATCTTTATCCCCAGTCCGTCTGTTTCTGCTTCAAAACGCCCAGGGCGTTCCAGAGAGCTTGCTTCCGCCCCCAAGCGTAACAATCTCACTTCTTTAACCGATGTTAGTAAAGACCTAGGTAGTTCCGTAATATCGCAATGATGCTTTTTGTCGCTATACCTAGCGAGGAGAGGGGTGATCCCTTTGTACAGAGTTTGAGGGGGTTCCAAAGAGTCGACCATCCTCGAAATCTGCACGAGGGGTTCTCCCAAGATCATCGCCTTGGTCCTTTGAATTTTTCGGCTGGTCAGTTGCATCGTTCTCGCTATCGTTTTGGACGGCGGGTAGTAAACGCGTTGTCGTACCAATTTCAGGATCTCCGGATCATCTTCGTCACTGCTTTCCGTATCATCAGTTGATGGCTTCCCTTCTGCGGGTTCGTCCCAGGAGATCTTCCGGAGAGTCCCTGCCATCATCGGCGAAACTCGCGGAACCGCTTAATAGTTGTGCGAAGGGTCAATCGCAAGAGCGGGAAGTCCGAAAAGAACGTCGTACGTATTAACATCTAGTACTATGACATCCCCCAAGCGCGTGTATTTTTCCTAATCGGAAGGCGACATTGGTCATTCTCCCCACAGTTTTAATCTTTTCCTCATCTCTTGAGACGAGCTGATCTTTCTTGGTGAGCATGATCAAATCGTTTTTCCTGCCTGCCCGTTCCACCACTCTCAGTGAAATAGCCAACACAACTGCTCCTGAGTCTATAATGGCGTTGTAAGAAATTCCCCAAATTTTTATATCGCACCCTGCGGATTTCCATGGAATGGGTTTAATCCGTAGGAAATGATCGTCTTTCTGAATTAATCCTATCCGTATCGGATCCGGAGTGCTTGTTGGGTTTTCTTCCGGCGTGGGGCCTTTGGCTTTTACGTTCGATGCTCGGGCGAGAGCGAATCGCTTTCGATTTGCTTTACAGTGCTGCAACATTCGCTCGTTGGCTTGCTCGGAGATCGAGAGTAGATGACCGATCGGAAGGGGAATCCGATGATCCAAGGCTCGGATGATGTTTAGTACATCGATCTCTCCTGTGACGAAGGTGGGTCCTCCCGACTCCATTTCTCCTAAGGACGGTCGCCACTCCGCCACCTATTTCGGTCCTGATGCTGGTCTGATTGTTCCGATCATTCCTAGTCCAGGATATCCCAGCGACACATACTGATCTAGCGGAATTAGCTCGGCGGCCTCTTCCGTGGTGGCCGAGGCACTTCCCCCACCCTCTACTTCTTCCATCAAGGCTTCGACTCGTCCAGGTCCGTTGGCGATGGGGGCCGCAGCCATAGGTGTGACTCCGATCCGCTGTTGTGGGGGTCGGTGGGGGCAGTCACGGGCTAGATGTCCGGGCTGATGACAGGCTTCGCAAACATTCAGATTGTTCGCAGCTCCTCCGAGAGCAGGGGCGGGGGCTAATCCTTGTTGCATCGGAGGGGCACGCACCGCAATAGGTCGCATGTTCCTCATCATGGCTTCCAGCCGAGCATTGTGCTCTCGCTGCTCCTTTTTGCTTTCTTGGATCAAACTAATCAAAGTTTTGGTTAGTTCGAAAATGGCCGCCGATTCGTTTGATCGTACAGGAGCCTCTACCGGCGGCGGGGGTAATGCCCTGACGGGCGGGGGCATCATAGGAGCAGAGATGCTCGGAGTCTCACTTAGGAATACTCGATTGGGGCCTATCTATTCCATATAGGTGACAGGTCCTGATACGAACCCCATGTTTTCAAATTTGTTTTGTAAGGCAGCCATCTCTGCTCTTGCTCGAGCGAGCTCGGTTGAATCTCCGTCTCTAGGGTAATCTTCTCCTTCCAGGAAGTTCGCCGCGAACTTCCGTTCCATTTCTTCCGTAGCAGCCATAATTTGTTGTAGCGTATGGGTGATGGGGTAAAACTGCTTTCGCAACTTAGCCCTTATTGTTCGACTGCGGAGTCCGTCAATGAACAAATCTCTCCATACTTGCTCACCTCGCTCATTTTTTACGAACATTCTGTAGAACCGGTTTCGATATTCCGCGACGGATTCGAGCGGTTTTTGCACTCGATCCTTGATCATGTACAGCGCTTGCTCAGGGTGGACATAATCGAATCGGTTCAAAAAGTCCCGTTCGAAGGTCGAGAGATCCACCCATACATAGGTACTATACCAATGATGAGCGTCTCCTCCCATTCGAGCCGCATTGTTGATCTGTGCTTCATGATCATCGTACTGCTCTCTCTAAGGGTGGCCAGCCACCCTCCTGCGAGATGGTGCGCCGGATCAAATCGATAGAGATCTGGTGGCGACATGGGAGCTCGTGCACGTGGGGCAGGTTGATAAAGTGGATTAGCATTTTGTTGCAGAACTGGATTTTGCACGTTGGCAGCCATATTGGCTGCTCGTCGGTTAGCCGATCTACTTCTGGTGACAATAGGGTCGCGTCTATGCGCGTTCCGAGGGCAAGGTCGCCCACGGTTAGCCAGGTCGCCTAATTAACGTGTTATCACAAAAATCACAGCAAGAGGAAGAGAGGGAGGGCGGGAAAGACAAAGCGCAAGAAGAAAGATACAGTTACAATGGCGCCTGCCCAAAATTACAGTTACACCAACGATTACAGGCGCCGATTAATCAGAGTTCCGTTGCAGCCGCGCGAAGAAGCGCGTGAACAAAAAGC